GGACTTCATCTACTTCTCACAATAACATCATTTTACAACAAATGAAGCAGAGACTCAGAGGCATGAAGTGCCTTGTTCACAGTGACAGTGACGGTGATTTGGACTTGAGTGTTTGACTCCAACATCTGTTCTATCAACCCTACCACACAGTGTCCCAAAACATTTATTGAACTTCATATGACTGCAAATAGGGTTTATGAATCAGGAACTAGGGTTCCTCTCCTGAAATGGTGTAACGTGAGAGCTAAGAGGGGTTGGCTGACTCTTGGAAAAGCTTAAGGGATCAGACTCAGGGATTTTAGCACCAAAGTATGAATACTTTCCTTTTTAAATTAATTTTTATGAAGTATAGTTAGTTTCTGCTATACAGAAAAGTGAACCAGTTATACATATACCCACTCTTTTCTAGAGTCTTTCAGTCATTACAGAATATTGCATATCATTCCCTGTGCTATACAGTAGGCTCTTAGTAATTATCTATTTTATATACAGTAGTGTATATATGTCAATCCCAATCTCCCAGTTTATCCTTCCCCCCTTTACCCTTCGTAACTATATGCATGTTTTCTGTATCTGTGACTATTCTGTTTTGTAAATTAATAGTTTTTAAAAAGCACTTTCCAGAAATCTGAGGAGAGGGTGATATTCATTTATCAAATCAAGATTTAGGCTTGAATAATAGTAACTATTATTAAAGTTTTATTTATTTATTTAGGCTCAATTTATTTATTTAGGCTCAGTTATCAATAAAAAAATAAATTTTATTTATTTAGGCTCAAATAATAATAACTATTATTATTTTGGGCTCCAAAGTCACGGCAGATGGTAACTGCAGCCATGAAATTCAAAGACACTTGCTCCTTGGAAGAAAAGCTATGACCAACCCAGACAGCATATTAAATAGCAGACCTTTGCCAACAAAAGTCCATCTAGTCAAAGCTATGGTAGTCATGTATGGATGTGAGAGTTGGACTATAAAGAAAGTTGAGCACCAAAGAACTGATGCTTTTGAACTGTGGTGTTGGAGAAGACTCTTGAGAGTCCCTTAGACTGCAAGGAGACCAAACCAGTCAATCTTAAAGGAAATCAGTCCTGAATGTTCATTGGAAGGACTGATACTGAAGCTGAAACTCCAGTACTTTGGCCACCTGATGTAAAGAACTGACTCATTGGAAAAGACCCTGATGCTGGGAAAGATTGAAGGCAGGAGGAGAAGGGGATGACAGAGGATAAGATGGTTGCATGGCATCACTGACTTGATGGACATGAGTTTGAACAAGCTCCAGGAGTTGGTGATGGACAGGGAAGCCTAGCATGCTGCAGTCCATGAGGTCTCAAAGAGTTGGAAACGACTGAGCAACTGAACTGAAGAGTAACTACTACTATTATTTGACAACTCTGTATTAAGCACATAATATACATCCTCTCATTTAATCATTCCAGGAGCCCAATGAGATAGTATTATCCCTAATTTCCAGACGAGGGATCTGGGGGGATGAGGGGGTTGACTTGTCTAATGGCAAACAATGAGTATGGATTCCGATTCAGTCAAGATCCAAGGCCCCAAACTTTAATCATCAGTCTGTGATACTTGTTTGCTTTTTATCCCTCCCCACCTTCCTAACTTCCCTCTCTCCTTCTTTCTCTCTTTTCTTTCCTTTTTCCTTCCTTCTTTTTTTGAAAGGGAAAGACCTGGTTCAACTCCCAGTCAAGAAGTCTCTGCAGTTTCCTAGGGTGCCATTAATTAATTTCTTCCCTTGAGTGTTTCTGTGGGGGATGGACAAAGGAAAGAAGAAAATAAATATGCTAACTATCTAGTGGGTGTTAAGCATACTAAGAACTTTTGTGTGCTAAGTTGCTTCAGTCGTGTCCAACTCTGTGACCCCATGGACTACAGCCCTCCAGGCTCCTCTGTTCATGGGATTCCAGGCAAGAATACTGGAGTGGGTTGCCATGCCCTCCTCCAGGGGATCTTCCTGACTTAGGGATCAAACCCATGTCTATTATATCTGCTAGATTTGCAGGCTGGTTCTTTATCCACTGAGCCACCTGGGAAGCCCTCTAAGGCTATTTCTGTCCATTGCATTGATTTCCATTTTCACAATTCCTAGTCTCCACTAATCAAGCTGTATTCATCCTTCAATGCCCAACTTAAGCACCTCCTTATCCATTTGTCATCTATTCTCATCCTCAGAGATGGCAACATTTGATCACCTCCCAACCCTGTGTGAAAGCTTTCAGAGCTAACCTTTTGTTTGCTTAACTAAGCCCAGACTTTTTTTCCAGTCTGGTATTCAAATCAGTCATTCAGTCACAAACACGTGCTGAGAGCCAATTATTTGCCAGATACACTCTAGGTGCTGGGACAACTGAGGAGAACCAGACAGATAGTTGCTGCCCCCATAGTGAACAAGCTAGATAGTAAATAATTACAAATAATGAATTAAATACTTACTCCTCTGAATCAAGTAATTACAAGCCCCTCAACAAATCTGGCCTCAACCCATCTTTTCAGAGTTTTTTCTCATCCTTTTACTCCACCCCTGGGCTTACTCCGGCTTCCCCACCTCTGCCCCTGGGCCCATGCTCACCCTCCACTCCTGAATGCAGGTTCCTCCCTGTTCCCCACATCCATCTCCAGGACCAGCTTTAGTTCTGCCTCTTCCATGAAACCTGGCTAGACAACCTCTGCTAGACAACTTTAGCCTGAAGGATCCTCCCTCATTTGAATTCCTAGCACTTATCCATTCAACAAATATTTACTGAATGACTTCTTGAAATGTTTGATGAATGAATGACTCTTCATGAGGTTCTAAACACATGCTATGATATCCGAGATTTAAGTTATGTGGGGAATTAGACTTTTCCTACTGAGACAGATCCCAAGGTTTTTTTCTTTTTTCTCTTCTCTTCTGGGGAGGGGAGGGGTCGAGATAAAAACTGTATAGTAAAATACACAATATGACAATAAAAATTGCCCATTCTCATAATTCTACCACTTGAAAGAGATCATCATTGATGATTATTCTCTATATCTTTTTAGTATTTTTTTTCTGTTTTTTCTCTCTGTTAATACCATTTTGAAAAATTCCTTCTTCCTCCAAATTAAATTTTTATTAAGATATTTTTTCTTGTGCTTTTAAAAAACACAAAATGCCTGTACTCCCTCCCTGCTTGCTCTCTTCTGCTTAGGAGTGGCATAGTTTTATTTTGAACAAAATTTAGAGAATTTACACAAAGACTCATCCGTATCTTTTCCAGTTCACTGATTCTATGTACAAGAAGAATCTGAACACTGTTTCAGGGCATTTACTCAGAAGTCTGTTCTCAAGACCTACTCCAGTTGATCTTTAGACCACACTCTACCCTCCCTTCTTCAAGTCCTGAAATGGGTGGTGGTTGTTTTTTAGTCCCTCAGTCATATCTGACTCTTTGCGACCCCATGGACTGCAGCCCGCCAGTCTCCTCTGTCCATGGGATTTCCCAGGCAAGAATACCGGAGTGGGTAGCCATTTCCTGGCATACAGTGTAGTCACACTCATGTGCAAACCACAGAATCTCAGGTCTGTAAGATGACAGATCTTCCAGATCACCCCTTCTCTTTAAGGGTGAGCAGACGGTTTAGTACTTGCTCAAGATCTTGCAGCTGGTGGCAGCAAAGCTGGAGATACCAGCCCTGGTTATCTTTTCAAATTGCCTCACTGTCTTCAGGTTGTCTAATGATTAACCCCAAACTGAAATTAAACAACAACAACAACAACAAAAACAGTGAAGCACTAAACTTGCCAAGTAAATCAGACCTATTCCCACCACGGAAGGGGAAAACTTGAGCAGAGATCAGGCAGGACTTCTCAGCATGGGCTTATTTTGAAAAGTCACAGAATCTTCTCATTGAAAATCTATATTGCTGTGAAAGAATTTAAGCACAGAAGAAATGTTAGGGCCACCTATCTCTTTCTTAAGGTTTGAGAAGTGGAGGATAACAAAAGGATAGATGGAAAGTATGTCTTGCTCATGAACTGCAGTATCGTTTTGTGTGTATATTCAGCTTTGGTTCTTAATATGATGGCTACAGAGGTTACCGTGATCCAAGGTTTAATTCCCCCAGGTGAAAGAAATTCAAGATTTGTATTAAAATGACGTCTCTTCAGATGGCCCAAGCCCACTTCACCGACAGTTTTCCCACCCTCAGTTTGAGCCCCAGCAAAGTGGTCTCTCTCTCTCTCTCTCGTTTGAATTCTAAACATCGATGATATTGGACTCTCTTCCTACAAGAACCCAAGGAAAGGCAAGCTGTATACAGTCCTCATAAAGGCAAGAACTGTAGTTTTAAGAGTTCTAAAGATCATTCCAGTGGGCCTGAAGGCCTTAATAGACGAAAGGCTACGGATGGAGTAGGGGTGCAATACAGTCGGAGGGGAGTCGAAGCTGATCCACCTGGTAGGGACTGGAGCAGAGGCAGCTCCAAGAGAAGGGAGAAGCCAACCGTAAGAAGGAGCTGGAGAAGGAAGAGCTCTCCCAGAGGGCGCTACCCAGCTCGCCTCTCCGCTCGCTCTCAAAAGCTCACTTTAAGATCAAGAACACAGGTGGTGCCCAATGGGAGTCCCTACCCCTTCGCAGTAAACAAAGGGAGCGGTCTCCTTCAGCGTTTTTGGTCTGAATGAGGAGGGCTCGGCTCTACCTTTGCGGAACCACCCATCCTTCCCCAGGCGCCCAATGAGGCCGCAGCCTCTTCCTTGAACACTCCCAGGAAACGGACAGGTAGCTCAGACCAATGGCTGGAGCTGCGGCGGGCCAATGGGAGAGAGAAATGGGTCAACCTGGGGTTTGAGAATGGGAGAGCCCGCACAGGGCGGGGGGCGGGGACAGGGGGGACCCGTGACGTAGGAGCAGGGTGGGTGGAGTGGGGCGGGGTGGATGGCTGGCGGGGGTCGGCGGCGTCCAATGGGAAGACAGGATAGCCCGGGGGGGCGGGCCCTTCAGCAGAGAGGCCCTGCCCCCTAGGGTCCGCAGGGCTGGGGTGGAGCCAGGTCCGCGTCAGGTGGTCCAGGGCGTGCGGGCGGCGCAGGGGGCGGAGCGCAGCGCGGAGCGGGGAGCGGCGGCCGGCGGGCGGCGGCGGCAGCGGCGGGCGGCTGCTGGCACCGGCTGCGCGAGCAGGTTACCCGCGGTGGAGGTAGCCAGGCCGCCCCAGGGGGGCGATCGCGAAGGCTAGGGCCCCGGCCCGCCGCGACCCGATGCTGCGGTGAGCGCTCGAGCTCCACGCACTTGTCTCCGCTCCCTGCCGGCCCCAGCCCCGAGCGATCCGGCGCTCGCCGCCCCGCCAACCCCGGCCCTACCTGAGGCCGCCGTCGGGGGAGGGGTGTCCCCCCAGCTCCGCGGAGCCGCATGAACAATAGGCGGCGGCGGCTCCTGCGGGCGGCGGCAGCCCCGCACCCTATGGATCGGCCGCTCCATGGAGCCCTCCAGTGCGCTTCTCGGCTGCCTGGCGAGCGCCGCTGCTGCCGCCCCGCCGGGGGAGGATGGAGCCGGGGCCGGGGCCGAGGAGGAGGAAGAAGAGGAGGAGGAGGCGGTGACGGCCCCCCGGGAGCTGGGCTGCGGCGCGCCGCTGCCCTACTGGACTGCCGTGTTCGAGTACGAGGCGGCGGGCGAGGACGAGCTGACCCTGCGGCTGGGCGACGTGGTGGAAGTGCTGTCCAAGGACTCGCAGGTGTCCGGCGACGAGGGCTGGTGGACCGGGCAGCTGAACCAGCGAGTGGGCATCTTCCCGAGCAACTACGTGACCCCGCGCAGCGCCTTCTCCAGCCGCTGCCAGCCCGGCGGCGAGGACCCCAGTTGCTACCCGCCCATTCAGTGTAAGGCGAAGGCGGGCTCGGGAGCCCGGCGGGGGAGGGGGACGGGGGATGATGGAAGCCTGGGGATGTTTGCAGAGGGAGGGGAGACCTCCCTGAAGGTTAGGTTGGGGTGGGCAATGATTGACTTGGGTGTGTGTGTGTGCGCGCGCGCGCGCGCGCGCTCAGGCTACACGGGCTTTGGTGGGTGCAGTGGGTAAGATAAGACACGCCGCAGGCAGGCCTCGCTTGGAACCTCAGGCGCTTGGGCTTCTTCACCTTCACCTGACCACCTCAGCAGCAGCTCGATTCCACATCCTGAAGCCCCAACATCCCCCCCCCCCCGCCCCCCAGATCTGGCAGGATTTTAGGCAAGCTGGTGGTTTCTGTAATAACCTTAGTCCTCAAATCAGGGACCTTCTCGACCTCTTCTATCGCCTGTCCTCGCCCCTTACTTTTGCTTTAAAGGAGATGGTGGTGTCTCCCTCAGGGCCGAGCTGGTTCACAAGTCCCGGAAGCCTTTGAAATACCTTTGAAATTCCGTGTTGATTTCTTCGATCCTAATCTTGTATCTCAAAAGTGGTGCCTTTAGGAGTCTCACTGAATAATGTGCTAAGAAGGGTGTGTGTGTGTGAGAGAGAGAGAGTAGGTGGAGGGGCAGGTGATGAGTGGAGAAATGATAGGGAAAAGTATGTCATCCCCCCCAGAGAGATCAGGAGCACAGGATATAGTGGTGAAATCCCAGCACCTTGACACCTAGACAATATATTTTCTCCTTTCTTCTCACCCTAGATCCTTGCCTATATTTGGTATTTGCCAAATCTCAGGGGAATGATACCCAGAGGTCCCTCCCAGGGCCATTCTTCCAGTGTCCTGGTTTTCACCAATTCCCAGGAGCCCCCTGTTCCACACCCTGTAATGAATTTTTCTTTGTTTTTTCAAAGGAGTTAACTTGCCATTAGAATCCTTTAATCCGTGATGCTAGGTAGTTTTAGAAGAAAGATGTAAATATCTCCCGGTACAGTTTACACTATTTTGTATTTGAGGGTTTCCATAATTTCTTTCCTGTTAAAAAAGTATTGTTAGTAGACATGTATCTTTATTTATTCTATGTTTTATGTACTTTGCCCCTTAGCTGATTTAAAAAATCATTACCGAGGGATAACTTTAAATAGTTTAAAACTTTTACTTGTAACAGTTATTTCTCTGGTCCTATGACTTATTTTCACCCAAACAATTGTATTATATCTTAACATGTTTATTAAGTAACAGCCATTAGTATCAAAATCATAGCCTCTTTCCTTGTTTTGACTGTCAAATTGACATTCAAGTATTTAGCTTCCTTTGTTTTCTCTCTGTTTTATTCAGCTAAAAACTTCCAGCTTCTGCTGTTTGATCTTTATAATACCTGGAGGTGACACATTACATTGTTTCCAGTTGTTGCATCTTTTTGGCACTAGTGCTAGAAAAGTGAAGGCTAAAGGTCCTAGCATATAATGTCCCAAATAGTGTTGAAGATGAACTTGGTCGCATACTGGAAGAGATGTTGGCCTGGCATGTTAGAAAGTAGTGTAGTTTTAAACATGTCATATTTTGAGGTTCTTTGTGGGTGATGTTTGGTGATTTGTTTTTCAGAGACATCTGGTATCAGAGTAGAAGAGCTCTGTGAGGTTCGTGAGCGGGAACTGAGTTTCATTAGTAGCTTGTGCTCCTGCTTTCAGAGCAGTCAGGAGTGAACCTGACCGAGGCTGGACGAACCCATGCACAGAAAACCAGATAGGTCCACACTGCACCATGTTAGAAGCTCCTTCTCCGTTGGGTTCCCAGGACTTCACCTTTACGGTAACAAAAGTTACCTTGGATAGAATAGATTCCTGTATCTAAAACTCAGATGACGAGAAATTAGGAAGCATCTTGTACTTACTGAAATAATTGACTTGAACAACATTGCATTTGAAGGTCTTGTTACGTTAATTAGCCACACTGGGAGTTCTGATCTTGTCTGGGCTTAATTCTTGATAATTCAGAAAATTTAGTTCTAATCAAAAACCAATTAGAATGCCTAGTGAAAGAGAGATACTGTGTTAAATACCAGGGGATAAAGAAATGAGAAGGTGAGGAGGTACTTAAAAGTCACACATGAGGGAAACTGGTGAAGTAAATATATCATTTCAGTGCAGTGCTTCGCTAAAGGAAGTTGCTGATCTGATCAAGTGTTTCTGGTCCGTATGCTGTGTCCACTGGTTCAGTTACTGTCACTCAGAAAATAAAGGTGATTGACGACCTTGTCTCCAAAGACTTTGAATGAAATTGAGCCTTTGACAACTTCCCCAGTTAGTTTTTTGAACTTCCTCTTTGGGGCATGAATTTTGCTATTAGATTGTGAATAGAAGACACAAAAGTGTTTAGTTACTCTGTCGTGTGTCTGACTTTGTGACCCCATGGACTGTAGCCAGCCAGGCTCCTCTCTGTCCATGAAATTCTCCAGGCAAGAATACTGGAGTGGGTTGCCATGAATAATGTTCAGTTTTAATTTCAAATACTGCTTTTCAGAGTGAAACTTTTGCTGCAGACTTTAATCAAAACAGAAGAGGAGGAAATTAGTAAATCTTGTGACAAGGAAAACATATAGGAACGGTATTATAAGTCATCCAACACTCAAAGAGTGCATTTATCTTCTCCAATGTAGGTATTAGAGTTTAGCTCTCCATGGGGCTGACAAATATAAATAACCCAGGAGTGTGCTCATCTTCTTTATTTTAGTGAAAGATGGAAAATGTATAGTTATATCATCTTTGGAAATCTATAACCGTAGGTATTGAGAAAAAGTTTCTCTTACAGGAGAGTTGTTTTGTTTTCAAGCAGGGCATACATTAAGGATATGATTGATTTACATTTCTTTGTCTTGCACTCACTAGAAATATAAGGGTGTATTTTCAGATGTACTTAAGATTTTTAAATGAGTGATGTGTGTACTATTCATTTACCCCAAACTCATCAGAATGTGCCTGTATGTTTAGTTTCTAAGGATACATTTGAGAGGGAATAGTGTCTTGGCTCCAAAACTGAAAGAAATAAGGATTTTTCCCTGATATTCCTGGATATATTCTTCCACAGAAACTGAAATATGTGCTGCATGAGACTTGACCTGATTCTTACTTCAAACCAGGTCTTTACTGGAGCAGGGAAGGGAAGGAGTCCCACATGCTCTCAGCTGCAGTGATAGTCTAGTTTCTATCCACAAGGACTTCCTAACAGGGAAGAGAAAGGAGAGGAGCCTCCCCACATCCTCCACTATTCTTTCTTCTGTCTGCTTGTAAGTTCTCTTCTATGCTTTTCTTGAAGCCTGGTCAAAATATTTCCTTGATTAAATAACAAGAACATGAGAGTTTATGTTCTACACAGAGAGAGAGAGATCATGGCTTTGCCTTCCCCACAGAGGTTTTCTGTCTTCTGTGAAATGCCATCAGAGGAGCTGTCCTTTCAGCACCCTCGTTCAGAATCACATCTTTTAAGTCCTCTTATGTTTAAATAAGGGGCTTCCCTGGTGTCTTAGTGGTGAAGAATCTGCCTGCCAATGCAGGAAACATGGATTCATTCCCTGGGTTGGGAAGATCCCTTGGAGAAGGAAATGGCAACCCACTCCAGTATTCTTGCCTGGGAAATCCCTTGGACAGAGGAACCTGGTGGGCTACAGTCCTTGGGATTGCAAAGAGTTGGACATGACTTAGTGACTCAACAACAATGATAAATGTTTAAATAAATATTTAACACCTCCTGTGTGTTCACAACTATGCTTCAGACCAGAGGAAAGAAGAGGGTGGATACACAAGAAAATACAGCACTTATTTCCTTAAAGAGAACTCAGATATCTGAGGAATAAGATATGTAAATGTGCATTTATTAAATAGGCACCTACCTTTTTATCCATGAAAAATCTGGTAAAAAAAAAAAAAAAGAGTGCTCCCTCCATGACCAATAGATTCTTAACGTAACTTACAGTTTTCTCCAGGAAGGTTCTAATCTCTTTTTGATGTAGGCATATTTTTTCTTATTCATGTAATAGATAAGACAAGAGTTATTAATCAGTCAGGATTCATTTTAGGACCTAAAAACACTCAAACTACTTTTAACAGAAAACAATTTAGTAGAAGAAATTGGGTGCTTGTAGATTTGTTGGAAGGGCAGGGAGAAGGGGCTCTTGGCTAGAACTATGGGACCAACTCCCAGTCCATTGCAGACCTGGCCCACCAGACAGGTGCTGCTTCTCTGAGAAGGTACAGAATCAGGAGTTGCCATTGAAGTTGACTTCTCCAATACCCTGTTGTAGTTGCTGTCTGGAGATTAGGTGACTACTTGGCCTTGCAACTTTCCTTTCCACATCTGCAAAACTAATAAGCTACCCCCATTAACTATAACCCATCAGGCTCCTCTGTCCATGAGATTCTCCTGGCAAGAATACTGGAGTAGGGTACCCTTTCCTTCTCCAGGGGATATTCCTGGCCCATGGATTGAACCCACATCTCTTAATCTCCTACACTGGCAGAAAGATTCTTTACCACTAGCGCCACGTGGGAAGCCGAATAATTGGACACTGACATGATATTATAGAAAACCCACTTCTCCACAGCCTTACTTAGCAGGAGAAGCAGCAAGGAGATGGTCTCCATATCACTTCTGCCTTCTGAATCTTGTGCATCTCATTGGCTGAATCAGCACTCTGTCAAGAAGTCTGGGAAATGTAGTTTTTAAACTTTCCAGCTTCTGTAGTACTGAGAGGTATACTGGAGGATTGTAGAATGGATGTAGATTATTAGTCTGCAGGACACACCATTTATTTTTCAATAAGGGTGCTAGATAAGGTGATGACCTTTTGTTGTTGCTGTCATTTATTTACTTTTGTTCTCATAAAACTTTTAAATTTATTTTTTAATTGGAGGAAAATTACTTTACAATGTTGTGTTGGTTACTGAGGTGATAATCTTGAACAATTGAAACTTTGAGGGTGCAAATGGGCCACATATTTTGTAGACTTCAAGGCAGTCTGACTAACTTCCTAAGAGTTTTCTTTGTGCAGACTGCCAGGTGAATTACAAAATATAAATGAATATTAGCCTTTGATAGGATGGAAGTGCTGTAACTGAGCAGGAACCTAGGTCTCAGCACCACCAACATCTGAATGGAGAATGAAGACATTGTGGAGCTGGCTGAGAATAGAAAAGAACAGTCTGCAGTGGGCATCTCCTCTTTCAGTCTTGCCAAGAGTTCAGAAATACGTGATCTTTGTGTTCAATTTTTTCTTCTATAGCAATGTGACTATTCTCTGTATTTGTTTCAGGAGGTCCAGTTCCAGTTTTCCCCCACAGTTCTGAGTTTGATTTCTTTCATACTGAAGTAGATTCTCCCCATTTTGCTTTACTGTCTGTTGGTCACCAGCTGAATGTTCAGCACGTAAGGGACAGTGGTATGTCAGGCAGAGAGGATTAGCCCTCTTGCATCTTGCAAGGCAAGGACAATAGGCATTGAACAAATAATTATAACGATGAGTCTTGCCAATAGAGACTGCTATGGAAGTGCTTGATGGGGGCCTGGCCTCGTTTAGTAGAAGGTTAGGAAAAGTTCCTCTAGGAGATTATAGTTAAGCTTGTGTTGAGACCCGAGGCCACCTGGGTCATCTGGGTGAAGACAAGGAAAGAGACTGAGATGACAGAGAATAGGGTTTTCATGAGAGAAACATGAAATAGCACTATACTTGTACAGGACACCACATCTAACTCAAGATTCATCATCACTGGTGGTTATTATTCCCTATCCATGGAAGTCTTTCCAAACAGCTAAAGATACAGTCAAGTATGGTAGATTCAAACTCTGGATTTGGGATGGGAGATGAGGGTGGGGGTGACACTGGGAACCTCGGGGATGGAGGTGTGGCGGGAGTAAGATGTTGCCTCGGAGACTCCTGTTTGTCGCACACTTTAATCACCAGGTCCTGGAAAAACCAAGTTTTGAAGGTCTCCTGATTTTTTTCCTGATTTCCAGTCTTCACGGCTACTGCGATTTGACTCTTGTCCTTGTGTGTCTGGATTACTGCGGTGGTCTCCTTAGCGGTCCCTTTTGCTATTACGTTTCACATAGCTGCCAGAGTTGGTTTCCTTTCTAAGTCACAAGTCTGACCCCAGCAAGACTTTGAGCCTCATCTACCCTAATGCATACAACCCAGCTGCCCTGGACTCCCTGGAATTCCTGATAGGCTACATACCTTCATGCCCATGTTCTTTCCCCCCTGCCCCTTTTCTCTTTATTGAAGTAGAGTTGATTTACAATGTTGTGTTAATTTCTGCTGTATAGCAGAGTGATCCAGTTATGCATATACTTACTTTCTTCCTTATTTTCTTTTCCATTATGGTTTATCACAAGATACTGAATGCAGTTCCCTTGTAGGAAGAGCAGGGCCTTGTTATTTATCCATTCTGTATATACTAGTTTGCATCTGTTAACCCCAGACTCCCACTCCATCCCTCTTCAATACACTCACCCTCTTGGCAACCCCAAGTCTGTTCTGTCTTTGAGTCTGTTTCTGTTTCATAGATAAGTTCATTTGTGTCATAATTTAGATTCCATGTACACGTGATATCATACTGTGTTTGTCTTTCTGTCTGACTTCTTCCCTTGCTATGATAATCTCTAGGTCCACCCATGTTTGCAAACGGCATTATTTCATCCTTTCTTATGGCCGAGTAACATTCAACTGTATGTATGTATCACATCTTTATCCATTCATCTGTTGATGGACATCTAGGTTGTTTCCATGTCATGTCTACTGTGAATAAGTGCTTCATGCCCTATGTTCTGGCTCATGACCTTCCATCTACCGGGATTGTCTTCTCCACCTTGGTCTTCTTTTCCTGATGATATCCCTTCCTCTCATTCTTTGGGCCCATTTCAGATGTTTCCTTCCTTGAGAATCCTTTTCCCACTCACTCTCTTAATCCCTCTCCTGTGGTGGGAGTGAGTGATTTCTTTCATCTTCGGATCATACCACCACCAAAGCTCTTTTACCCTACAGTTTGGTTGTTGTCTGTCTGCCTTGGCACTGTATTATATGCTTCTTGCTATCTAGTATATACAGAGTAAAATGTGAATAAGCCACACAGTGATTGATCTCCCCCAGTTTTTCTGTTAGTTAAAATGGTTGCTCTCAGTACAGTATTCTTCATGAAGTTCCAAGTAGAAGTTATTTCGTGAATACTTACTGAATACCTACTTTGTGCTGGTCACTAAAGATAATGTGCTGGCCACAGAAAAAAATGTTACCCCCTTTTCCTGTCCTTGGGGAGTTTATTCTGGGGAGACTGAAAAGCCAAGTGAATAGACAGCTTGTTGTGTTTCCCCAGCCAGATAAATGGGTGATTAAATGGTGTTTTTCAAATGTTTTTGACTTGCTCCTTTTTGCCTTTTCTTTCTCAGTGTTAGAGATTGATTTTGCGGAGCTGACCTTGGAAGAGATTATCGGCATTGGGGGCTTTGGGAAGGTCTATCGTGCTTTCTGGATAGGGGATGAGGTCGCCGTGAAAGCAGCTCGCCATGATCCCGACGAGGACATCAGCCAGACCATAGAGAACGTCCGCCAGGAGGCCAAGCTCTTTGCCATGCTGAAGCACCCCAACATCATTGCCCTTCGGGGGGTGTGTCTGAAGGAACCCAACCTCTGCTTGGTCATGGAGTTTGCCCGTGGAGGGCCTTTGAATAGAGTATTATCTGGGAAAAGGATTCCCCCAGACATCCTGGTAAACTGGGCCGTGCAGATTGCCAGAGGGATGAACTACTTACATGATGAGGCAATCGTCCCCATCATCCACCGCGACCTTAAATCCAGCAACAGTGAGTATGGAGAGGTGGGGCTGGAGGGCTGGAGATCACTTTCAGACCTGGTCCATAGCTTGGGTTGGGGTGGATGTGTCAGGAATCTTATTGGGCAGTGAAATGCCCTGCATAAAGCCAGTCCATCCTTTGGGAATTCTCTGGCGGTTCAGTGGTTACGGCTCTGTGCTTCCACTGTAGAGGGTGTGGTTGGGGAACTAAGATCCTGCATGCCACATGGCACAGCCAAAAAGAGAAAGAAAAAGGGGGAAAAAATTACCAAAAAAAGAAAAGAAGAAAAATACCAAAAAAAGAAAGAACCCAATTAGCAGGCACTGTTGGCGGTGTGTAACTCTGTGATGTACTATTCAAACAAAACGCATAGGTTCGTTTTTCCATTCTGAGGAAAGGGTGGGTGCTTCTGAACACAAAAGGAGTTTTTCTCTTTAGTGAAACAATAGATAGAGCAAACCAATACCATCTATTTGCATTTCTGTCTGAACTGTCCAACCTGAGTTCCCACCAGAGAAGGGGAATAAGAGAGAGGAGGCGTGTCGTTTAAGCCGTGAGGCCCGTTCAGGTGACCGTGTCAGCTTGGGGAACACGACCTCACTGGTAGACCTACAGCTCTCCTGATGGCCTCAAGGTGGTATTAATTAATTGTCATAACTACACAGTGTTTAATAGCAGGGAACTGAGAAGTAACTGTTTATTAAACATCTAGAACCCATAAACTGGAATGTAAAGCAAGTGTTAGACATAATTAAATGGCGGGTTGGTATCAACTTCAGTCTCTTTCCTTGGCTGAATCAGCAGGCCCTGGGAGTATGCTTCTTTTGTGTGGTAATTTGGACTTTCCCCGGCCTAAACTGCATGGTAGAGAGGATACAGTTTGCTAAGTGGTATATGCCTAAAGTCACTTTGGGCATCCTGTCCAGAGAGGAGGGCGTTAGAGGAGTTTGGGGTCCCAGGAATTTCACGCTCTGTGTCCTTCAGCTTTGAGCCCAGAAATCCTTTAGACCCTGTTTTCCTCCTGGTTGTTCCAGATGTGGCTTATTTTTGTGTTGATGCTATTGTGAATCTGTTAACTTTAAAAAATATGTTTTAAATAATGTAGGTAGTAAGTACTTTTGTTCTGCAAAAATTAGGAAGTGTAGATAAACAGAAAGAAGGATCACCCATAATGTTTTCCTTCTGGAAGTGTATATATTGCATTTGGCATATTTTCCCAGACATTTAAAAAGCATATATGGCCCATATATACAGAAATATACTTTCCAACTTACTTTAAAATAGCATTTGTTACCCTTATCTCATCTACATGCATCCTCTTCCCCTTTAGTAAGAGCAGATTTCCTCCTGGTGAGAGTATGGAGCATTAGCTGTGTATTATGGATATAATGCATGTGAAGGATTTAAGTTCCATAAAGTAAATCTGGTTCCTCTTTTCCTTCTGCCATTATTCTATTTCTTTACTATATGATTATTCTCATCCCTCCTGCACAGTTCTGTTCTTTAAATGTGTATGTGTGTGTACGCCTAGTTGTGTCTGACTCCTTGCAACTCCATGGACTATAGGCTTCTCTGTCCATGGTGGGGGATTCTCCAGGTAAGAATACTGGAGTGGGTTGCCATCCCTCCTGCAGGGGTCCTTCCCAACCCAGGGATTGAACCCAGGTCTCCTGGGTTCTTTGCAGATGGATTCTTTACCATCTGAGCCACCAGGAAAGCCCTTTAAATGTATAAAATAAGTTAAAACTTCTGCTGACTTCCTTTTTAAGGAAAAAAAAAAATTTCTACCTAGAGATTGCTTTGGATGATGGAGTGAGAATAAGCAGATGTGTTGGTAGAAAACGTGATATAGAAGCTGAATTTTTTAAAAATGCATTCTTATATCCTTATCATGCTGGGTGAACCAGGCATTGTGCACTAATCTTACATAATTGAGCCCATTTAAAAACTTGGTCTAGGGTGATTGTAAAAGTTAATAATTTCCTCTATGAAGTTTTACATCTGGGTATAATTTCAAGCTGCAGATACAAGGTTTTACATTTTTTGATTTATGTTTGGAAGTCTAGACTCTTTCAGTATATGTGCTGCCGAAGCGAGCACGGAAGTCTAGACTCTTATGAAGGGAAAACTAACTTGCTAAGGAGGTGCAGGGGACCTGAGTGTCATTCTGTCTCCTTGGAGACAAAACCCTGCTCCTTGTCCTAATGTGGGTTTTAGGATTTCCGAGGGGGACCTTCAGGTACAGTGTATGGTGGCAGGGCATACATAGGGTACTATTTTAAAGGACCTCATCCAGCAAGACGGTTGATGCCCTGAAATGTGCATAGTCCACTGGTGCTGATGTTGATGCCTGCTGTAAATCTCACATGTGAGTTGGGGTAACTCCTTGGTATTTGTCTGTGGGTGGCTGTTTGTCCGTGATTGAATTTATCCAATATGAACCCCGATGACACTGTTGTTCTTATTCCATTGCTGCGTGTACCGACTTGAAAATCATTTTAGAAATGTTACGTCATTTCTTTGCCTGCAGAATGAGAGTTGTAACTTCTTTGTGTTTTGCAGACTTGGGGGTACTGGGGATACTTGGGGATACTGTTTCACTTGGTTTTTATTAGAAGCTCCAGAGAGTTGCATTTTGTTTATAGTCATGTGAGGGCAGAATTCTGTGAATTATATGTGTTAGTTGACTTTGAACCCCTAGAGAAAAGAATAAGGTATACATGGGGGTTGTCTTGTGGAAAAAAGGAAATAGCTGGTGATAAAGTCTGTTACAAAACGTTCAGTAAAAAAGTAATTTATTAAATGGTTTTATATATCCTGATCATCTGTTTATTTATTTATTTTTTTTCTGATCATCTGTTTAAAAAAGTCGTGTGCTATTTATGACATATTTGTAGCATAGACTATCTTAGGCTGTTCATGTATCATCTGAAGTAAGGTTTGGTTTAATGCACATAACTTGAAAAAACAAAACAAAGTAACAGTGGCTAAAACAAGGTATACATTCATTTGTGTTTAGAAAGAAAGCCGGGGGTGTTTAAAGCATCTCCACATCTCTTTACCGCATCTCAGGGTTGCCTTAGGATCCAGGATGACTTCTGAAATGCCAATTGTTTGGTCAGAGTCACAGGCCTGAAGGAGCGGGAAAAGCAGAAGCACAGAGGAAGCTGCTCCTCTGGCCGAGTCGTCTCCCATTAGCTTCCTCGAAATCCAGCACAGCATCTGTGTGTATTCAGTGGCTAGAATGGAGTCCCATAGCCATGGCTAGCGCGGGGGCCACTGGGCGGTGGAGGGTTTTATTCTGGGTTGGCGTGGAGCCTGGCTAATAATCAGGGTCTGTTACCAAGGAAGAGAGAGAACGTGGATGGTGGGGAAACAGCTGGCAGTCTTACCATGAAATCTGGGAACATGCATTGGGAAGAAGTGTTATCTTAGATAGTTATTAGATTTTTAGCATTACACTGCCAATAAAGCAAGGTTAGCCAGGCGCTGGGATGTGTGGCTCAGACTCCTGATTTAAGGGATGGTTTCTACTATGCTACCGCAGTGCATCATTAACTTAAACATCTCTTTTTGAAACTACTCACTGAAGTCCTGGCTATAAAAGTGGATTTATGTGTCTCTGCTCCTCACACTGGGGAAAGCCAGCCACTTGATTGTTAGCAAAGATGTTAGTGAAAGATGGTCTTTTAGTGGAAAGATTGTCCTTTTGGGGGTAGGTAAGTGGATTTCAGGTTTTTGGCTTAAGGGCATTTGGCAAAATAACAGTTTAATAGGGGCTATTAAGAATAAAATTAGTATAAAAATGAGGTGATAGAAAATGAAAAGCCTTGCTCAAAGTGAAGGTAGTGGTATTACTTTTGTTATTAACTTCTTTCCTCCCATTAAAAAACATGGAAAAACATAGAGCTAAACGCAGTGTGTGTTTTTCCTTTTTTTTTTTTTTTTGCATTTTTGCATATTTCTTTTCACCCATGAATCTTAACTGTGCGTGTGTGCTAAGTCACTTCAGTTGTGTGTGACTGTGATCCTGTGGACTGTAGCCTGCCAGGCTCCTCTGTCCTTAGGATTCTCCAGGCAAGAATACTGGAGTGGGTTGCCATGCCCTCCTCCAGGAGACCTTCCTGACCCTGGGATCAAACCCACATCTCTAACATTGGCAGAGATCAACCCAGAGATCGAACCTGCGTCTCTTACATTGATCCATGTCTCTTTCACTGGCAGGCAGGTTCTTTACTTCTAGAGCAACCTGGGAAGCCCCAAATCTTACACAGGAAATCCTAATGGACATGGGTTTGGATGGACTCTGGGAGTTGGTAATGGACAGGGAGGCCTGGCGTGCTGCGGTTCATGGGGTTGCAAAGATTTGGACATGACTGAGCGACTGAACTGAACTGAACATTGCTTGTAGCATGCTTTCTCTCCCCACTGCCAACTTGCTAAATTGTGACCACTTTCTTATTAAGTAAATATTCTTCTACCACAAGATATTTAAAGGTTTTACAGTTTTCCACTACAGTATTTTGGCTTCCCAGGTGGCTCAGTGTAAAGAATCTGCCTGCCAAGCAAGAGACGCAGGTTCGATCCATGGGTCAGGAAGATTCTCTGGAGAAGGAAATGGTAACCCCACTCCAGTATTCTTGCCTGGGAAATCCCATGGACAGAAGAGCCTGGCTGGCTACAGTCCATGGGGTCGGAAAAGAATTGGACATGACTTACAACTAAACAACAGCAACTACAGTATTTAAATATAGTATATTAACTAAACCAAACCTGTATATAATCATCATCATCACCAAACCTCTAAATAATAATAATAATAATAATAAGCAACTAATGCTTATTGAGTGTTCTCTTTTGGTCAGGCCCTATCTAAGCATTTTCTGTGGGTTCTTATCTAATTTTCACACCATCGCCGCAGAGTGAAGACTGTGAGTGTCTTTATTTTACAAATAGGAAGCAGAGGCTCAAAATGGGCAGCCGTTTCTCTAGGTTCTCGCTGCGAGTCC